ACAATGGCTATGAAAAGCCCTTTGTAATCATACAGCACTAAACACATACAAGATAAAATGTAAATATTTGCAGATAGCCCGTAAATTCTCCCCTAATTCCAGAGAAGGGCCTGGTGGAACATTTTGACTTCAGTTGTCCACAGGGATCTCAAAAGGTGTCTACAACCAAGTTCAGCATCTTCCTCCATCCCACGTGTTGCTTCATTTTTCTATTCTATTGGGAATGGCATTCATATCAGTCAGCTACCCCGGCTAGAAGTTCATTTATTTAACAAATTTTCATTGATCCAAGCTTGAAAGCTTAGAATCATCATTGATTATTGCGTCTCAGCACCACTCCACATAAACCCCTTTATCAAGCCCTTGAAAACCATTGTGCTCAAATATTGTCTCTTCTCTGTTGCTTTCACCATCCTCCTAGTTGAAATGAATCCACTCACCTCAGTGCTTCCATAGCACTTTTGTTTCATAACAGCTCTATTGTACTTAATTGTATATTAATAATGCAAGACAATGGTCTTGCTCTGACTGCTAAAAAACTGAATTTAGTGACCACAAAGTGTTGAATGAGCCTACAGGAAAGGGAGATGGCTACCTGTGGGCACTGTCAGGTGAGGTTTTAAGTGAAAGGGTGGCAAGCTATGGTTGGGTACACAAGGTGTCACCCCTGTTAGGGGCAGATAGGGGCATAGGCATGGAAAGGAAAAATCATGTGGTATTTTCAGAGAGTAGTGAGGAGACTTGTAACTTTTAAAAGACAGAAATTTTTTTCCAGCTTTATTAAGATATAATTGACTTGTAACATTGGGTAACTTTAAGGTGTACAATTTGAGGATTTGATACATGTGTATGTTGTGAAATGATTACCACAGTAAGGTTAGTTAACATCTCCATCACACATAATTACTGTGTGTGTGATAAGAACATCTAAGATTTACTTTCTTAGCAACTTTCCAATATATAATACAGTATTGTAAAGGGACAGGATTTTCGGTGATTTAACTTGCTTTGAATGGCATTTAATATCACGCCATTCATAAATAGGTCATTTATTGATTTTGCCAATGACCTTTCACATTAACTTTGTACTCTGCAGAGGGGGTGTGTGATACAGGAATTTGAGAGTCACAGAAATGACCTCAGAAAGTACCTAATCCAGTTCTCAAATTATATCCACTAGACAACTGAGATCAAGAGAAATGTGATTTCCTGACTTGTTGAGAGACAATAAATTCTTTGAAGCCAGAGTCCATGTGGTACTCACTCTGTATCCTCCCTGTGAACCTAACATATTCCTTTTCCGTAGCACTATGGCAAAGTTTTGGTGAATAAATGAAAAGGAAATTTTCATCTCTCACAGCAAAGTTACATGTAAAAATTCCACCCCCAGGAAATGTTTGTGCAATGTTCCATTCAGATATATTTACTGAGAAATTAGGTTAGGTTAGACATAGCGTTGAAACTTGAGAGTTAGATACTACGTGGATTTAGCAACCTAGCAATTTGATCACTGTTTTCCTTTGGAGTTTGTGTGATAAGGGAACAATGCATATGTCCTTGGTTCAGCACCTTATTCAGGCTGCTCATGTTGTCCAGGATTGAAGCTTCCCAACCACCAGCATTCAACAATGATCTTAACCAGAGGCATGGCCTGAGAAAGAAGAGCAAGGAAGTTCGATCTCAGGATGGGCATGTGGTCGTGTCAATCAAGGAGAACGCTGCTCCTACCCCTTTGCATTTGGCCTGTTGGGCTGTTCATCCAGGTGCCAAGGCCATCACAGCTGCAAGAAAGGCTCCAGCAGCCAAGTTAACTACGAAGAGAGAAGGAAATGTCAGGAAGATTGAAAGGCTCCCAATACTGACTTGTTTCTGATGCTGTTCTGTTGTTTCTTACTTTCTTTTATTGTAACCAACATTATTTACTATTCTAGAAGAGCATGGTAAACGTGTTATGTTGACTGAGGTATACAATACCAGACATGGGGGTTGAAATAGGGTGGATGCTCTGATTCTTTATTTTATTACCATTTTCATCAAAAAAGAACTTCCTCAATTGAATGATTCCAAGAAGAATTCTTCCTTGAGAAGAGGAATTCAATAACTTCCTTAGTGCTTTTGGAAGCTATTATGCTTTTCATTGTTCTCTGAGGAGATCAGAGCATGATTTGGGACAATTCCATTCAATCTTTTGTAGTGTCATCCAGAGCCTTGCCGTTCAAAATGGGGTGATTTTGGAAGACCACTATTAAAGTGTATATTCAGTCAAACCCAGGCAAAATGCAATAAATGGGATCCAAGAATTCAATTGGGACATGTGAGTTACTTTTGGGAGGGAAGCTGTTGACATGATGCAGTACAGCTTGCCATCTGGGAGTTCTGAGGGTCTAGCTGTGCTGTCCAAACCCCTCATGGGATGGCTCTGGTTTGGCACCAGCTGGTAGGGGTTGTCCACTCAACCGAAATATTGATGGTGATTCTCCTGGCTTCTGCAGCTGGCTGGGACTTCCAGGACAGTGGCAGCAATTCCAGGAATCTACCACTCAGTTGGCAGCTGTTTTCTTGGCCTGACTTGGGGAGATTGGACTGTAAGAAGACTGGGTGAAAGGAGCCAACACATAGAGTAACCACTTCCATCCTGCCCCCACTTCCTGTCCACTCCCCAAGCAGAGGATGAGAATGCCAACAGCCTCTTTAGAAGACAGGAAGCTGTGTGGAGGACAAGAGTCAATCTCCAACAGCATTATATCTTTATTATGTATACCTTTATAATAGAAATAGAAATTTCCAACATTGGAGAGCAATTGAATGACAGTAGATCCATATGGCAGACTCTAATGCAACCGATAAAAATGCTATTTTCAGGGGCTGGCCCCGTGGCCGAGTGGTTAAGTTTGCGCGCTCCGCTGCAGGCGGCCCAGTGTTTCGTTGGTTCGAATCCTGGGCGTGGACATGGCACCGCTCATCAGACCATGCTGAGGCAGCGTCCCACATGCCACAACTAGAAGAACCCACAACGAAGAATACACAACTATGTACCGGGGGGCTTTGGGGAGAAAAAGGAAAAAATAAAATCTTTAAAAAAAAAAAAATGCTATTTTCACAGAAAAATGTAATGACATAAAATAACTGTGATATTAATCTAAGTGAAAAAACAGGATACGCAATTGTGTATAGATATGGTTTTAATATTATAAAATGTGTATGTGTATGTGTATGTCCCTGTGTAAAAGACTAAAATAAACTATGTCCTACTGTCGACAGTGATACGTAAGGAATGTGGTTTGAATTATGGATAATTTAAAAAATGTGTTTCTGCATTTTCCAAATTCTCTAAAATTCATATATATTACTTCGATAGTAATTTTTAAAAATGCAACTATCTTCTCTGCTTAAATAAATAACAGAGTAATGGCATTTAACATAGTAGCCCAATTCCTATAAGAGAACAGCCTTTTAAGTTACTCCTTGCTATTTATTATGGTTATTTTTGAACTAAGTCTGTAGTGGAACAGACCATTTTCCTATACATAGGGGGAGAGGAAGTTCTCTTGAGACCCCAAAGAGTCCTTAAGAGAAAGGAAGTCTACAAATACGAGGAAAACAGCAGTAGTGCTGTTTTATCTACTAGGCAACATATTCCCAATGCTTAGGGCTTGTGACTTTTTCATTTTCTTTTTTTTTTTTAAGAAAAACCTTGAGATCAGAAAAAAAAAAACTGACTCCAAAAGAAAACTGCAAACAATATTAATAATACAAATTTTATTAACTGTCTACAGCACATAACATAATACTATCAAGTTTATTAAATTTAGTGTCAAAAATGCATTATATTTACAAGCATTTTGTGAGTTAGCCTTATTTTATAAGGATATATAACAATTGATAAAAAAGATAAACAGCCAATCAAAAATTAAACATTAGGGGCCAGCCCCATGGCTGAGTGGTCAAGTTCATGCCCTCTGCTTCAGTGGCCCAGAGTTTCGCCAATTCGAGTCCTGGGCACGGACATGGCACTCTCGTCAAGCCATGCTGAGGCGGCATCCCACATGCCACAACTAGAAGGACCCACAACTAAAAATACACAACTGTGTACCAGGGGGGCTTTGGGGAGAAAAAAGAAAATCTAAAAAAAAACAAAAATTAAACATTAGTCATAGCCAAAAATTCCAAGAGCAAAAATACAAAAATCTTTTCTAATATATTTTACAGCAAGTGTATTGTGCTAAATGTGGGATATGAACTCGTTTTAATCTGTTTGATATGAGGGGGTGGAACCTCCAGAAATAGGAATGCCCAGCACTTAAGAGAGTCTTCTAAATGCTCTGGGAAGAAGAGGGTTTTCACCTCATTGATCAACAACGTCCATACAAATTGCTGTGACCTTGAAGGCAAGGCTGACTGGAAAGACCAGAGGAATCACAAGATTTTAGCCTGAGCCTTTTGTCTTGCCTAAGGGAGAAGGCCATGCTATCCAGAAGCAGGAGGCAAGGGGACTCCGGCTGGGTGGAGGCTGGTGGCGAGAGGAAGCCCTGTAAGCTGCCTGTGAGTTTGTCCCAACCCCTTATGCCTGTGGCACGAGTTAAGTCTGAGTATCGTTAAGGCAGCTGGTATTTTCCTCCATTATTTATTTTTTCATTGACACTTCGGAAGAATGCATTCATGCAGCTAGCATTTTTTAATTGTACCTACTATGTGCCAGGTAACATGCTAGGTGCTGCGTATGATTTCTTCCCTCATAGAGTACAGTCTGAGAGGATACAGAGTAGAAACAAATATCTAATCCTATAATTACAGATTGTGACATGGCTTTTAAAGGTAATATACCCAGTGTAGTGACAGAAAATAGGCAGAGTGTCAGGGAGACCCTCTCGAAGGAAGAGATATGTAAGCCTGAAAGATGAGAAGCAGTCATCATAAGGAATGGGGTGAAGAGTGACAGGACAGAGGCACCATTGCGGAAAACTTCTGTTCTAGAACCCAAAGGAAGCCTGCATTGGCAAGGCAGGCAGGGGTCAGGTCAGACCCTGGCAAGGATTTGAATTTCTTCCAAGGGCAACTGGAGCCCTTGAGAAGCTGAGGATGTGTTTATAAGAAGATAGTGGCTCCTGTGTGGAGAAGAGATTGAAGGAATGGAAATGTCAAAGTAGAAAGACAAGTAAGTAAACCATTACTGGAATCCAGATAAGAGGTGCTGATGGCTTGGACTAAAGTCTTGACAATAAAATTCATCTACAAAAGGCAGTAGTATTTTAGTGTGGATGGGGGCAGAGAAAGTGCGAACCTGGCCTCACTGCCGAAAGGGGCGCATAGTTGAGATCTCAGTCAGTCCATCTGTGCTTTTAACATTCCTGCAGTCAAGGGGCACCTGGTGTAAGCACCTGTTGCTGTTAATGAGAAGGCATCTAGAGAGAAATCTCACCCAACGTCTGCTTTAATGGAGGTATTTTTAATTCTAAAATATAGTATAGGCTATATGGATGCTACACTAAAGAAAACCTAGAGAAATAATTGGTGCATATAATTGAAACACAGCCAAAGAAATGTAACTTAAGATCAGCATAACGAAAATGCTCACAGCGATCTTCTTGCTGCTGTATCCGGTAGTCAGAGATGGGATGGTTCCCACGGTCTTTGCTGCCCTTGAGAACCAAATGGAAGACACAAACCATAGCCTTGAAGAGTTGGCAAAGAACAAAAGCCTTGCTATCCTGGCAGAGCCGACTGTCTGAGTTGGTTAACTCTGTGCAGGTCCAGTCCTACAACCCAGGGGGAAGAACTGAAGGGGGAAAGAGGAACAAGCAGTCTCAGAGAGATTCCCATTCCAGCCTCTTCCCCCTCCCTGCTCTCAGTTCCTGAAATCAGCTTTTTTGGCATCCTGCGGAAGCAGAAGCAGCATTGGAGCAATCAGTCAGGAGGCGCACTGTGAGGTGTCCCTTAGACGCATCTGTGTCCCTCACACCCCTTCTCCCAATCCTGGAGGCCTCCATTTTAGCACACTCGTTTTACCCCGGAGGGTTATATAGAAGCCTGCAAATCCACTGAACTTTCTCTGTCATCTGTTCAATGACCTCAGAATTTGATGCCTGCCTTTTCTCATGGTTTTGGGTTTGGGGACCTAGTGTGTAAAGTGCAGGTTACTTCCAGCCGTAGCGGTCTGGTGTCCATCCTGTCACCCCCAGACATGCCTTAGTCACTTTCTCAAGTCTCTTAAACTTGAAAGGGATGGAGGTGGGCTTTGCAGGTAGCTTAGACTCAGAAGAGAACCATTTAAATCCTTTATATACTTTTAGTACCAGCTAACATTCAATTGTTGTACTAAAAGGAAGCCATAGATGAAATAGTTGTTACATAAAATTCTAGGCCTGAATTTTAAACATAGGAAACTGTTACTCACTCATGTTATTTGTCCCCTTTGTTTGTGCTTTCATCATAAATATGGCACAGTTCTTCCTTAGAGAGTTGGCAGAAAACTTTCAATAAAGAATCTTGCGCTTCCTTTGTTAATTTGGGCTTTTTCTCTTTTAGCTTTATATTCACATTTTAAGTACGTCATAATAGTAGTGTTTTAAAACTTGGTAAAGTAGAACTCCGGGACTCATCTGAAGTCAGAGATAGGTTTATATTCATTTTTCCTGATTCATTCATTACCTATGTCCTGAAGTTCTAGAAGGTTCTGGGCACAAAGATGAATAAGACACATTCCCTGCCCTTGAAGAACCATAGATTAGTGGAGAAGATAAACCCATGAGCCAATCGTTTTCCATACTCTGTGATATATAGGCTCTAGCAAGGCTATGGGGAACATGGAGGAAGACAGCTGGATTAGCCTGTGGGAGTGGAGGAAGGGAGAGAAAGCGGATGCTCAGAGCCAGAGAAGGTGATCCTGAAATGATGGTGCTTGAGTTAAAAAAAGAGTTTATGCAGCATAATCACAGCATCTTTTTATTTTGTTGCTGTAGCTATACAAAAAGTAGTGGAATACATTTCTGCAAAAAGTTCACACAGGAAGAAGGACAGGGACTGAAAAGGGAAGGTCCCGCCTCCCACTTCCCCTCTACGCCCATTTGTATAAATGGGAAAGTGCTGTACAGATTGTTTCATGAACTTGCTTCCTTTCTACTTAACGCCATGCATTGGAGAGCTTTCCATACTGGAGTAGCAGGATCTCACTGTCACAAATCTCATGTATACAAAATTGCCGTTTTCTTAATCCATCCTGTACTTCATTTAGTTGTTAGCTGAATAGCAGAGAACGTGATCAAGTCCCTTCCGATAAAAGTGGTCAATTCTGAGTTTTTCTCAGTCTCTAATAGGTAAAAACTCAGTGAAAGTCAGCTTCCCTTCCCCCAGGAGTGACCCAGGATGGAGGCAGGAGGCTTATGCCTTGTGGCTTGGGGATGGAGACCACTGACGGATTGTGGGCATCCTCATCTCCTGGCATCCACTGAGATGACCTCCATCACACTATGATCTCTTCTACTCAGGCCCCCATGCTCTGGAAACTTCTCAGCCAGTCTCCAGTTCCCTTCAGGCCCACCCTTCCCCCCTCAGCCACCTCTGCCCCTCTAAGAGGATCCCCGGGGCTTTGGGCTGCCCTTGCCCTTCCACCTGGAACCTCAGTCAGGCAGCACTACTCCATGCCCTGCTTCTTCTCTACGAGGCTTTCCATGTCCTGAGACACCCCTGATAACCAAGGCCTAGATCTTTCTGATCTGGGGTGCCTTCCAACCCACACGAGGGCCCATTCTGCTGCTCTCCTACTCTGAGAAAAATCTCCCAGCTACACCAAGAGTCTTTTTTTCCACCTCCTTCTAAAAGGCATGTGTTCATCCCAAACCATTATTCAAGAATAAACGTCATGCTCAAATCCTTTGGCTACTTGGCTTTTGGCCACACAAAAACCTTCCTGCATTTTTTATTTTTAAAGGTTCAGCTCTTGCAAGCAAACACCTTGGCTTTCAAGACTATTACTTTCCCTGTGGGTTTCAAGGACCTGTTTTGGAAGGAAAAGTCAAGGATTTTGGCTTTATATTTCCTGCCCTTTAGCCCTTCTCTGAGGCCCTAGGCATTAGCATCATCACTGCCTGGATACGTATCAAATAGAGATAACAGTGGTACATACTGTAAATGGTTGTTGTGAGGACTAATATAAACTAAATGATATAGTAATAGATGATATAATATGACCATGTAATTAACATAAATTAAGTAACTGTTTATGTTAAATAATTTGATATAATTTAAGTAAATTAACGTAAAGCACTTTTCACAGTACCTGGCATGTGGAAAGTGGTCAATAAATGTTTCCATTATTATTCATTCATTCAACAAATATTGAGCATCTGCTATGTGCTAGGCAATGTTTCAAGGCCTGGGAAGGTGAATAAAACAGATTAAGATACCTGAACTCATGGAGCTTTCAGAGTAGAAAAATATAGAGGATGTTCGTTGGGAAAATAACTAAGGAGAAACATAAAGAAGAGGAGGAAGAAAGTTAGTGTTGGAGAGGGCTTGTAAGTTTAGACAGCACAGCCTTGGGGGAACCTCACTAAGGAGACGTTTCAGTAACTCCTGAAGGAGGAAGGGAGCAGGCCAGGCAGCTACCTGTGGGAGGAGCGTTCCAGGCAGAGCACCTTCAGTGCCAAGGCTCCTGGGCAGAAAGGGTAAAAGGAGTTACTGAGGATGGAAAGCCATGGGTTTACGTTGCAAAATAGTATCCTACCACGTTAGCATCTATAGCAGGACATCACTTTTTCTTTTTTTTTGCTGGGAAAGATTCACCCTGAGCTAACATCTGTTGCCAACCTTCCTCTCTTTTTTTCTCCTCCTCAAAGCCCCAGTACATAGTTGTATATTCTAGTTGTAGGTCCTTCTGGTTCTTCTATGTGAGCCACCACCACAGCATGGCTACTGATGGACGAGTGGTGTGGTTCCATGCCCGGGAACCCGGCCAAGGCCACTGAAGTGGAGCAAGCCAAACTTTAAACACTCAGCCATCAGGGCTGGCCCAGAAGGACATCACTTTTTAACTACTTCATGGCTCCCTGATATGACAGGAGTTGGCAGACTATTTCCTGAAAGCCAAATCTGGCCACCACCTGATTTTGTACATAAAGTTTTATGGAAACACAGCCTCTCTTGTTGTTTACATATTGTCTGTGGCTGCTTCGTGCCATGACAGCAGAGGTGGATAACCAGACCATATGACCTGCAGAGCTTAAAATAATTACTATTTGGCTCTTTACTGAAAAAATTTTGTCGACTCATGGTATGCAGGTATTGGCACTTATTTAACTAATCCCCTATGCTCAACAAATTATCTTAATATTCTTACAGTTGCAAGATTTGCAAATTTGTTTTAAACTAGTTTTGGCAAAATTAGGGAAATTACTGGCTTATTGAAAGGAAGATTCAGGCATAGCTGGATGTAGAGACTGAGTGATTGCTTCAAAGATTAATGTTTCCATCTCTTGGCGGCCTCTGTGTGTGTGTGTGTTAGTTTCATACCACCAGCCGGCTCTCTTCATGTGCCAGAGAAGATGGCCCCTGACAGCCCCTAGCTTAACAACGGCTCTGCAAAGAGAGCTTCTCTTTACCAGTGTCTGTCTATCACTTCTCTGGCAGGTCTCAGGTTGGCCCTGTTGGAATCACCACACACCTCTGGATCTAGCACTGGGTCCAGGAAAATGAGATGCCGTGGTTGGCCAGGATTCAGTCCAGTGCTCGCCAGTGTGCCCAGATGGAGGAAGGGGCTTGTGTTAATCAGGATTCTCCAGAGAAACAGAACCAATATTTATAGAGATGGAGAAAGAGATTTACCATGAGGGATTGGCTCATGAAATTATGGAGGCTGAGAAGTCCCATGACTGGCCCAAAAAAGTTGGTGGTGTAGTTCCAGTCTAAACCAGAAGGCCTGAGAACAGGAGGACAATGATGTAAGCCCAAGTTCAAAGGCCCAAGAACCAGGAGCACTGATGTCCCAAGCCAGGAGAAGAAGGTTATCCCAACTCAGGCAGAGAGCAAATTAGCCCTTCCTCCATCTTTTGTTCTATTCAGGCCCTCAACAGATTGGAAGACACCCACCCACATTGGCTAGTGCAATCTTTTTCATTCAGTCTACCTATTCAAATGCTAATCTCTTACAGAAACACCCTC